GTAATTAAACAAATGCTCGCCCAAGTTTCATATGCAACTTAAAATTCGTCTCTTGCCGATCATATCAATAAATACCGCATTTATTTTACTGTTGTGGCTCTTCTGGTTAAGCCACTGCCGTCACAATTACATTTGAGAGACTATTGAGAATCTTTTTATAGAGTCAAGAAGCGAATCGCAAAACCGAAAGTCGAAGGGAATTAAATCGCTGAAAGAGGACTTGGCCGCACACAGTAGCACTGACAGTGCACCACGTTATTTTTATTACTTTCGTAAGTCTTTTCGAGACGACGAAGGCACTCTGTAAACCAGGGACGCGTTAACTGCCAAGCACTGAAGTCTCTCCCTGCAACGTGTGGCCGCAATAAAACATTTGATCGATTCACGCAACTGTGCTTTATTGATTATCCGATTTCAATATACCTCACGGTATTATCTGCCAATTCAATTGAACTGGGTGGCATGAAATGAAACTAGCGTAATATCAGAGATATGCGCACATTTTCATCATATCGTGTCTAAGTGTTCGACGACGGTAAGCTGCTCTTGGTACAATTGATATTATAATGACGAAATAGGGAAAGATTGAATTTTGGATTATCAACATGGACGTAAGCTCAGTCTCGAGAATACATAAAATTCTTACACGCAGATGGCGAAATGTTCTTTTCTCCTGTAAATTGCAGGACGTCAGGTCGAACTCGGAAGAAATATATCTTAAGTTCGACTTATTCGAAGTATTACAATTAATTGCTCGCAAAAATTAGCGCGATCTCTCGCTGCAACTTTCGTGACTTTCGCTATTCTTCGAATTCTCTTCTCAAGCCCGCGGGAGTTGCTCCTTCGCTCCCGAACATTACAAGGGTCCAATCACGCGACAACACAATTAGCGGCTATTATAAAGACACTGTGGTATTAGTTAAAAAAGAAATAGATATTGAGGTACTTCTTGAGGTATTAAGGCCGGTATTCATACTCAGATCTTATATTCAAGACTTTTAAGATCATCTTTAGATACTCCGTGTAACCAATAAAATATTACATGCAGCATCTTTAGATAATTTCGAAAGGGTCTTGAATATAAGATCTTCTGACCTGAATACCGGCCTAAGACTTAGCCGAATAAGAACTTATAGTAAACATGACTAATCAAACGATGAGAAAACTCTTCCTACAACCTTCTTGTACAATATATGTATGGTAGCGCCGTATTAATCAAATAAGAAGCATTTAATGCTATCTTATCAATTCTAAAGCAGAATATTTCGCGAGAAAAATGGCGTGCGGCCAAACGCACGGTTCCAATGGGTCCTTGTATCATGCGGAAATCTGCGTCATTCATTTAACGAGGCCGTGGAATTGATATGTTCTCGGCATTTTGCATTTTCTTGATGAAAAGCAAATATTGGAGCAGCGCGTAACCGTCGAGGATATTGATTATCGAGCATATCGAATTGCAGGATTTTTCATCGGTGCGTCGTTCCGTCATTATAAATCGAGGAATCTGCATCTCGACAGCGAGCTTCGGATGAATAATTGCTTTCGCTATCGTGTATCGACGTAACATTTACTATCTTAGCATGTCGATCGATAAAATTCTTGTATGTATATTTGAATATATTTGACAAATATTATTTATAACAATATATCTCCATTACCGACGTGTTATTCGCGCGATAGAATTTCTGACTGTATTAATTTAGAAATTCTACAGATTTTACAAGATATTTGTAAATATAAGAATTGAATACTGGCATTCTTATTTCATATCGATTTATATCATATCGGTTATACGGATTTAAATATTTCGCGAGGTTTAAAACCTACGTACAATCACGCATCGTATTCATCTTTGAAGATGTAGGAAAAAAAAAAGGAAATGGACGGTAATTGCGACTCTCGCTTTGTATTCACATCTTTTGTCTCACAATTCAGAAGCCATGTCAGATCCGTGGCGTTCATTCGTAACTCTCTTCCCGCACGCGAGAAGATTAAAAATTCCGAGACTGTGCTCTCTCGCCGCTGTGCGTTTTGAGACGGTACGGCGTCTTTTCATTCTCCCCGCAACCTCTCGCAGGAGGCTGACTATCGCACGAGCCATCTCTCGAAAGCTTATCTGGAGCGGCGGTGACGGTCGTCTGAAGTGCCGCAAGGAGTGGTTTTCTTGCAGAAAAAGAAGAAAAAAAGAGCAAACAGAAGACGTTTCCTCGTCTTACGTTAAACTGTTTGATTTTTTCGAGAGTACACTTCGCAAAACCGAGAATTATGTCGAGAGAGAGAGAGAGAAATTCGAACGGGACTCGTTTGATGCAACGTCGATCGTTGATAAAGTTTATATTGCATGACCGATATCGCAAAACCTATCATTGGATGTACGGTCGCAGTTATAGCCTTTTCCTTTACTTCGATACGCGGTACAGTTGAATTATTTTTAGCAAATAAAATCCGTAGTAAGATTTGTGATATTTCGATGAATCTTGATAATTAAATTCTTGAATTCGTATTTCCCCGCAAAATTGACATCGAGATCAATGCGCTATGTGTTTGTGAAAAGTTACATTAAAAAAATTTTAGAATCCTATGCTAAATTTAGACAATTATTTCGAAAATGAGACTCTCACATATTCTATAATACTGGGTTTTGTGTGAGATCGATGTGCGACGGAGAGTCCAAGTTCTTGTCGCGGAGTAAATGATAAAAATTTAGTAACACATACTTATAATACGTAAACTTTGTGAAATTGATCGGCACATTATTCCGTGCGTATACATAATATACATTAACCCTTGGTATTGGATGAATGTCTACCTCGTGTTATCCGTTAACACAACGTGATTGCTGCAATATCTATAGCCATCAACGTAATTGAGATAGAAATAGCTTAGAATCGGTACAAACGCGATCGGATAACTAATTTAGAGTGACAATCATTACGCAATTGCATAGTAATGATAACATTAATAACAAATAATACCATATTCGTAATTATCGTATTAATTGTCAATCGTGCGTTAATAATGATAAATAATGCAAATACGGACATGATTCATCGAAGCGAATGCTGTTGTCAAACTATTGATAGAATACGTTGTTTCTAAAAACTACTCAGATTTTTCGATAAATAAAACATTGCTTCCATTATTGGCGACAATTAGGATACTACGGATTAATTTGGTTTGAAGATTGACGCTTTACATAAATTATAAAACCACGGAGATTTTCTCCATTTACGCATGTGCGTAATATTGCAAGAATAAAATCGAATATACACGTGACACGGAGAAAGAATGCTTGCAGACATTAAATACTCATAAATCATATTCTCAAAAAGTAAAGCAACGTAATGCGAGCCGTAAAATGCGCATAAATTTCTAAACGAGTGCGTGACTATGTCTGAACAAAGAAGCGTTTAAGCTCCATATCGAAAGTCACAGAAAATTTCCTAAACGACTTTAGTTACGACTCACGAAGTAATCTCGGGTAAGAGCCAGCGCGATGAAAATACGGTAAGCCTTTGGGGGCTGAGAGGTGACAAAATGCGAGTAATCGGCGTCGGGACGCCGAAATGATGCTACAATATTTCGAGGCGTTTCACGGTTATTTCTCTGTAATATCGTAAAGCTATCCAAAGGTAGGGTGTATTGTGCGATATAGGTACGTGACGCTGTTGAACGCTTATTACTGTAGTAAACTGCCGCTACGAAGAAATGGTATGGCCGTAATGCCGATCAGATTGACACATTAAGATTTATTTATTGCATATATAGTACGTATATTATTTATATACATATATTGCATATATGTGTGTATAAATTATGCGCGTACACTCGAACATTATTATTACATTGTAATAACTATTCGAGACAGGAATTTTCTAATACAATTCTGATCAACCTAATACTTAAAAGTATACTTGGCTGTAATAATAATAACACTAGCTTAATTAATAATAATAATAACTTTATTAAAGAAAATATATACTATATTCTACATGTAAACAAATGTGACAGTTTATTACGCTTCGAAACGTGAGGCATCGACATGTAATATGAGTGTTTTAATATAATCTAATTCATACAACAAAATTGTAATAAACTAAATCTATTTGCTCCCGAAGAAAATTACCCCTGTTTATTCAAAACCGCATAACTCGCTGTTCATCATTCGATAAAGTTGCAGACGCGAAAAAGCGATGCAATCGTCACCAACGGGAACGGGGATAGAAATGAAATTCACAGGACGATACGGCTCCGAGAGCAACGCGGGCATAAAGGGCACTTTCGTTAAATTATGCATAGAGCATGAAAAATTCCCATGGCGAGCACAGGTCTCGACTTCCACGGGTTGCATAAGGAGATTCGCATTATCGTGCATGTTGAATGACGGAAAACGAGGAAGAGAGAGAGAGAGTGAGAGAGAGACCAGAAGGACGGCCGAGAGGCCGGAGAGCAGCCGGCAGTAGTATGAAATTTTAAAAGTGGTACACGACGAAAAGCATGTCCGGAATCGGAACCGTTCTGTCCTGTCTCCGTGGAGCATCGCGAGAACGAGTGAGCGAGGGAGTGTCCGCGCAAACTGATCTACACAGAGACAAAGTTCCACATTATTATATTATACGCTCGACATGTGTATTCCTTCTGCTAATTACATTGACAAACAGCATCAGGAAATTAAAGTTTTCTGTGTATCTCTGCAAATGTTTTGCCGCTCTCTAAAAGTCTACCGCAGTGGTTTATCACTGAAAACTAGCGTAATTCAGTGGTATACTTACAACTGTGAATCAGTGAGTGTTCACTGTTTTCAGTGATAAGCCGTTGGCTGACTTTTAGAGAGCGTTTGGTCCAATCGTATCTAATCTGTACTTTTCAAGCTAGAGAGGATTTGAAATAAAGATTGAGGTGTTTCTGCGGCAAATTCTTTGATCTTGGGACCTTTTTTTTCCTCTCAGTGTTCGATATATTTTAGAACATGTCCTACAGAGAAAATTATTTTGTTTCAGACCATTGCTGAAACAAATCAAGAATTCTGCGGAGTCGCATATCGTGCTGGACTGCTCCACTGAGAGGATCTACGATGTGCTGAAACAGGCGCAACAGATCGGAATGATGAGCGACTATCACAGCTACCTCATCACCTCACTGGTAGGTACCCAGGACTAAATGCGATTAACAATCGACTTTCCGTCCGTCATAGGCCACGAAGTAATCCGGAGTAGACGTAAGAGTCGCGAAATTGCATCAGGCGCGTTGCTTGTAAGACTAATTTTCACAATCTTCATCGTCTGAGCCACCTGCGGCTCTCTTTGTCCTCAATGTCCCTGTCGAGGAAACTGCGCCGAAGGAGCCGGGCGCTCCCACGAAGACTCAAGATCGATAACTCTACCCTCGGAATATTCGAATCTCTCGTAAATTACCACTAGAAAGGTGAGAAACCGAAACGAACGGTCAGAGATTGCCATCTGCCGTAGATCCACCGTGATAACAGCTATACTCTCTGAAAGTCAATCAGTGAATTATTACTGAAAACAGCGAGTAATCGCAAATTTACAGTTATAAGTAGACCACTGCGATTTTCAGTGGTATACTCGTAACTGAGAATCAGCGACTATTCACTGTTTCCAGTGATAATCTACCGATTGACTTTTAGAGGGTACGAAAGAATATACTCGACGTAAAGTACAGCTCAACATGACGTTGAATAGCCCTCGCCGTATTATTTCGTGGCCAATTTATCTGATTGTTATTTTAAATGTAAGTAGTTTCTCGCATCCTACCGGGCTGTGGAACCACGAAGCTATGGTAGATTCTGTTGAACTGCTAAATAAATCGGAATTTAGGATCACGTATTTCAAAAATTTCGAATTTTGTTAAATAACGCAACTAATAGTAATTTATGAAACATTGAAATTAATAATCTGTTACTCTCTAAAAGTCAATCGGTGGATTATTACTGAAAACAGTGAATAGTCACTGATTTACGGTTATAAGTAGACCACTGCGATTTTCAGTGGTATACTCGTAACTGCGAATCAGTGACTATTCACTGTTTCCAGTGATAATCTACTGATTGACTTTTAGAGGGTACGAAAGAATATACTCAACGTAAAGTACAGCTCAACATGACGTTGAATAGCCCTCGCCGTATTATTTCGTGGCCAATTTATCTGATTGTTATTTTAAATGTAAGTAATTTCTCGCATCCTACCGGGCTGTGGAACCACGAAGCTATGGTGGATTCTGTTGAACTGCTAAATAAATCGGAATATAGGATCACGTATTTCAAAAATTTCGAATTTTGTTAAATAACGCAACTAATAGTAATTTATGAAACATTGAAATTAATAATCTGTTACTCTCTAAAAGTCAATCGGTGGATTATTACTGAAAACAGTGAATAGTCACTGATTTACGGTTATAAGTAGACCACTGCGATTTTCAGCGGTACACTTATAACTGCAAATCAGTGACTATTCACTGTTTTTGCTGATAATTCACTGATTGACCTTTAGAGAGTAAGAATGATTAAAACGTCAAAATACAAGCGAGTCAAAGTATTTGCGAGTCAAAGAAGACTCTTTAGATTGACGGTAAATGTTAAATTGAAAAGCCTAGGATATCAATTATCTGACATCGATAATGCAAATAAGGATCAATAAATGACGTCCCTTTGGATGTTTCAAGGGAAAAAATAATTTTCGTGAACAATCGATTTAACCGCAAGAGAAGGGTACGGTTTATCGCGAGGTCCCAAGTATGGGATATCATTTTTAATTGCAGCACGAGAAGTAAAATTAATTTTAAAAATTTGCTTTAAGCTCGTCTGCGAGCCCATTGCGAGCATAATGAAAACGTTACGCGAGTGCAAAACTCTTAAACGAGTAAAAAGTGGAAACGTCGGCCTGCTGCAGTTAAAATTGGAAGCTGTCTCAGGATAATTAGTAATTTACAGCCGCCTCGACAGCGCGAGTGGAAGCGGAAGGGCCAGGCATCACGTCAGTCGTTATGAGAAGTGCGTCGTCGCGACGGCGCGACATTCGCGACGGCAATAAGTGATAAAAAATAAATAGGGCTTTAAACGGACACGCTATATAACCGCGAGCGGCGCAATTTATCTCGGTACTTTCCCCCCCCCCTCCTTACCCGTACTAGATTTCAATTTAGATCCATTAAAATGTAAATCAGCGAGGGTATTTGTTCGAGCGCGGAAGAATCGAGCTACGCTTTTTCTTCCGGGCTCCTTTCCGTTGACTCTGTACTGACGATGGTCGGGTGTGTTTTACGGGAATAACACAGATTAATACGACGAACGTACATCGATCGCCGATATTACAATGCCGTAACAACGGGACGTTGAACGGTGCCACGGACGGCGAGTCCTAAATTCTCATCGGAAATTCATTTTATTTAATTTTACTGGCGCGACGTCGCCGCGGTAATGAGTGCAAAATCGCTCATACCTTCAATGAACCGGTAAAAATTGATACATTATCCGTTTAATATTTATCAACAACAACGCGAGAAAGATTAATGAAGTTGGCTATGTGTATGTATAAATTTCATTAATAATATATAATCGCCCCTAATGGTTCGCCTGTAAAATTTGCATCGTTTAACTTAGCTATCAGCTTAAGCCATTAATTTATAAACTGCGTAGGATGTTTACTCTTAATATTAATTATTACGCAGATGAAAGAAAAATCGCGAAAATAAATGGAGCGGAGCTCTTGGAAAAAAAAATGTTACCTAGTAACGAAATGTTATCTAATACAGTGGAAAAGCGAATGATAAATGATTAGGTGGGTACAACCAGATTTCCCAGCCATGGAAAAGCCGGACGAGATGAAAAGGATAGAGGGTTGCTTAATAATTGCTTAATGTCGCGACCGATCTCCATCGCGCGAGGGAATTTAACGGTGCCTCGCTCGATTCCCGAGACGATATGTCCCGCGTCGGAGACTATTTATTTTCACTTACGTCGGTCAGTCGTCAAGGCTCTCGGAGGGAAAAATTGGCCATCATCCATCAACCTGACCTTTCCGCGGCACGATCGGGAAGTCCGCATGGCTGTGTTACACGTGGTCGGGTATAGGTACACACTGTAGCCGAGAGCGCCCTTTCCTTGGCGGACCGGGTAAGAGCATTAATGAATCTTGCTCGGTCACTCCGCTTGGCTTTCGACGAATTGCCTTTCACCGGATTAAGTTCGCCTCATGAAACAGTGATTTCGCAATGAAATTATTGGAGTTGGTTCCCCCGCGGTCCCCGCAGTGGCGTTGAGACCACACAAATTTCGCTCCCGCCGTTCTGCTCCTTCGAATTTACGTGACGTCATCGCCTATCCTAGTCCCCGTGCGATCATTACGGTTATTACGCCTGTTACGGTTACGATGATTGTTATAGTCGTTACAGTCTTGGCCGCCGTTAAGGTGCTTATTACGGACATCCATCGCTTAGGTTGATACCCCTTTGGATTTTCACGTTACACTTTGCAGCCCTCGAGCTCGGGAATATCCTATTCCGCGCTGAAATAGAATACTTCTCAAGCAGAATTCCGATTAAATAAAACAACTCCCAACACGGTCTTTAATCAGAAAACTGCGAAATCTCGAAAGTCGCTTAAAGAAGTTAATTGAAAAATTACGAAATCCTGAAAACCCTTTAAAAGAAGTCAAGTTTACTCTCGAAGAGCCGTGTACAGTTATTTATAAAGAAATTAGCAAAGTTTTTAATTAACTACCAGGTACGAAGATACAATTGGATATTATTGGGCGAAACTAAACATTTAAATCCGAGCTAACGCAAATGATTTTAATTTCAACTGAACTGAGATTTAATCTCGTAGTCATCATGGATTCGCCATACAGTTTTCTATTTTCCTTTTAAAACAATTATTATCGATTTTTTGTACGATATTTTGTCTGTAACGCGCATGGAGAAAATGTTCTCTTAAAATTTGCCCTGAAAATTCTGTAATCGTAGGACAACATGGCATTTCGAAAGACTTTCTAAGAGTTTTTAAACTTTACCGTACAGTTTACTAGTAAAACGTATATTAAGTATAATTACTAATAAAATTTCAAAAAACTCTCATAAAATTCTTCGAAATGCCGTGTTGTCCCAGGATTACATGATTTTCAGGATAAATTTTAAGAGAAAATTCTCTCCGCGTGAGCAAAGTTAACTTTCGCCATGGGAAAATACTTGTTCTTCTTTCCAGAAAAAAATTGTTCTCGAATAACTAACAAAATTAACGTACGAAGTCTTATCGGCACGTAATTATCGTATAAACACAAATTGACTGCAAGTGAAATATTTAAACTGCAAAATATTTTGCTTAGCCGAGCGACTATAGTGCACATCGCACAAAATTGAACGTCTGTCAAACGGTCTCGATGATACTCTCCGCGCCCACATACAGATTCGCTGGCTGTTCTCGTTTCAAACAAGTTACGATCCAACGAAATTTTGTGATAGACTCCGTAACAACCACGCGCGGACGCAGTGTTGTGTGAAAAGCGATATTCTTGCCGGATCTATCATATGCCGCGGGCGCGATGATAACGCACTGAGAAAAAAAAAGCCGGTCCCTTTGTTACTCGCCCGTATGTTAGTTTTGTTGATGAACAAAAATCCGATAGCACGTGTATATTTACATGTATCTTTGCTTTCGTGTCCGAGACGGACGCGCGGAGAGGAGATGCGATAATCCATTTTCCAAACGTGACACAGAGACGAAGAGTATCCGACAGACATCCGCGATCGAGCTGCTATCGATACGCGAAGCAAATAAATAACAAAGTTTGTATTCCACGTGTGTTGGCTTAAGATTTAATTACCGCATAATCCTCGGGACGTGAGGGGACACGCGTGAAGCAGCCATTAATAAAACGTCGCGCACGAGAGACGCAAGGAATCGCCGATGCTGAAAAAAAGGTTGCACAGGTGGATGCAATAACGGCACTCGCCATCGGATCCTCGGCACTTTTCCAGTTTTCATCGCCGTTGTTCCCTCGCTTTATCAGTTATTCCTGCGATGACAGTAATCGGCACGTACGTGCAATATTATATTGTGTATTAAATGCGCGTCGAGTGAAGTAATTGGAAATGATGAGTAAATGGGGTAACATAATGATTTTCCAATGATAAAATGAGCAGCAACTTTAAACTCGTTAAAAAGTACGCGCGCGCGCACAGGTGAAAGGATTTAAATATAATAATCATTAATTTTATCATCGAAAAGTGTTCTTCGCGTTGCTCTATTTACTTAAAGGTATTAATTAACGTTACATATTTATCTATTCATATTGAATTTATATTTATAACAGTTATTTACAAATAGTCAAGTATAAATTTCTTGTTTATTTGTTACTGCTTCTGCAAACATCAATAATAAATCGGTAATTAATGTGTGATTGAATAATTCAAAACTTTAACAAATCCTCACAGCATTTTTTCTTAACAGACATCCTATTATTTATTAGAATTTACTATTTTAGTATTTATTGTAAGTCACATTGATTCATCAAATCTTATGCCAAGTGTACGTGTGGTTCATCGAAAATCTGTTTAATCTCTTATTTTAAAATTATTGACATTACAATTTTATTAAGAAAATCGGTATAAGTACATTGACATTTCACTTCATGAAGTGATGCAAATTTAGGATGTCCTGATCTTCGTAATCTTCGAACTTGCGCTTCCAAATGATTCTCTTCATGGCTTTCATCCTCGCGTTCCTCCCCAGAGATTCGGTAATCGTATTGCGCCACGATCGGCAAAGGGGTGATAAAGAACAGAACGGGATTAAGGACAAAGGAAGTTCGCGGACGTAATGGAGCTGCATTCCCATCGACCCGCCATTATTGCGCGTTATTCTATATGTGGCAAGCGATATCGCCGCCGCGTTGTTACGTATCTTGAAAGAGTGCAAAACCGGATGCGGCCTGAGGCGAGACGATGATCGATCGCTACGCGGCGGTCAATCTATTCGCGCGACATCGGGAAACATACGATATCGCCAACTGTGTCCACCTACTTGGCGAAGACAGCAGATTGAGAACCCGGACTTATCCATCATGCCCCCGGATGCGGGACAAAGGATAATAAATGGCCGCGACGCGATTCGCAGCAAGTATTTGAAAAGATGGACCGGTATATACGCCTTCGTGCTGCACGCGACTTTAAATCACGTCAGCCCGCAAGCGTCACCGATACGGATACCGGCTCTGAAGCAGATGCCTCGTGCTTGAGTTATCTCCACTCCTGTCGATAGCTATACTGAATACTATCACGAGGAATACAAATTCAAACGTCCTTCCTGCTCAGGTGCCAATCGCAGCAAGTATAAATGGTGATGCGCCACACATATCCTTATATTTCATAGTAATTCCACGAGGAAAAAAAATTTCATAGTAAAAAAAAAGGGAAAAAAATTAGCAGCAAGAGCAAATGTGTAGCGACAGCTAAAATGTGTCTTTAAAATCAAGACAACTAATGCTGTCGCTGTCCAAACTAAAAGTAACTGTTTGTATTTAGGCGATAGCAATAAATTTTTGCTGCTAGAAACACATGTCACTTACAGCCGAATGTTCCTTTATTCTTTGCTACAAAACTAAGTAATCTTCATTAAGGGTACAAAAATTTTTAGCTATGATTATACAACCTTTAAGTAACTTTTGCCTTGACTATCACTTTTGTTAAAGAAGCAATGCAACACTAACGCCAGAATCTCATAACCAGTGCTACGCTGTGTATACGAGATGGGTTTATTAGATTTTTATTCCACAGCGTTCCTCTTGCGACATTAATTTTTTATTGTCTTTACGAAACAAGTGGAAACTCAAATAGTGGCTATTTGGCACTGACATTTCTATTCAATGTACATACGTATGTAATTAAATGAGTATTATATTATCTGCTTATTTTGCCTTCTAACGTCTAACTTCTAACGACAATATTATTACCATTATCGTTATCGTTATCGTCGCAATGTTGTAACGCAATGTTTTTCATATCATATATTAAACATAGTAACTGCATCGTAAAATTGTGCTTTGAAGTTATAATCGGCATGTTCGAAGGTAAACAAGTATGCGCTATACTGTAAAATCGCGATATAATCTCGAACGATGACGTTATAGATTAGAAAAGCTGGCACGAAAAATCACAAGTAGCATTTATAGAAATGCACTTGCCTTTAACTCTAGCGATGATAGGTTGAGAGACGTAATATAGAGGAAAGTCCTCTATTATTAGATAGATTTATAATATGAGATAGCAGATTTTTAACGCCCAAATTTAATCACAAATCTTTTTTCGCAACGATTACACAATGTAACAATGAATCTCCCACTAAACAGATTTCGCTCCGAGGGCAATAAATTCACCAATAGATGATGAACCTATTAATTTAGCAAAAACTCCGCTACCTCATATTAGGATTCTATCTCATAGTAAGGAACTTTCCTTTATATTTTAATACTGTACGGACTTCTTCGTCCATGGCATCATAAATGATAATACTTATCTATGATAAATAAGCATGGACCATGAAAACTTTTAAGCAGAAACGCGTCGAAAGTCGACCGATCGAACTCGATCGGTGCACGTAATCCCAATTTTGAGCAGAACGACTTTCTTGTACTCTTAAGACAGCTAAGCCCCCTCTACAATGCGAGTCTCAGAGTCGTAGTCGTGAGAATAATCGACGGTAATTGGTCAATTCAGTCGGGCGCAAAAGAATTGACCGATCACAGTCAATTTTTTTACGATTACGACTCTGAGGTCGGTATTCGTAGTCGGATCTCATATTCAAGACCGTCTTAAGATCATCTTTAGATGCTCCATAGCCAATGAAATGTTCCATGCAGCATCTTTAGATAAATTCAAGGCGGTCTTGAATATAAGTTCTGACTATGAATACTGGCCTTACGTATGAAAGACAGCCATTCTGCTCAAATCCTGATGTATGTGCACGGTAAAAATTTTTGGCTGCTACTATTTTAGCTACTTGTGTTAATATATGCTTTTTAATTGTAGCTAATAAATTTTCGCAGACAATGTTTTTACGTATAATAGTCAGAGTTTAGCCGTAACATTAAGTTTTTGCAACCAAGTTTTTATTCAGCTACTGAAATTTAATTGCTACTGCTAAGTCATTTTTTTGCGTGCAAAAAGGAGAAATGAGCGATCGGTCCAATTCATCAGGATAACGATTGCTCCATTGAATCTCATCAAAAGTTTGGTCTTTAATATTTTAACGTATTTCACTATGACTATCTAATCGAGAATCAATATACATAGAAACTTCTATTTTCTCCTTCTTGCACATTTGGTTTAAATTACAAATCAAATATCGAAAACTCTATATCCGTAATTTAAGAAAAATATACCAAACCTCTTTTTATTCTTCAGGCCGTTGAAAATTTTTGTGTATTGTAACATATACAAAATTTACATACATAAAAATGTGTGTACATAAAACCCAAATAATTTGTGCATTACACAAATGTCGTGGATACAGTTCTAGGAGCAAAGGGTGCGGAATCCTTTAAGAAATGCTGTAGTGGTTGTGCACCTTTCATACTTTTTCAAGGTACAACTGTCAATTTGTGGAAAAATTTTTGCAATTTACGGATTATGCGGTTTTTGTGTACAGATCGACAGTGCCTCACTATTTGGGCAAATCTTTTTTTACTTTTATATTTAATTTCTGTCCTTTGATTCAGTCCGAATAGTGGAACACTTTTGATCTGTACACAAGCCCACATAATCTGTATACATATAGTGGCAAGTATATTTTATTGTTGTTTTCGTCATATAATAGGGCACGTCAAAGCGTAATGTAAAACAGAATTAATTGTTAGTTAAACAATTAACGTTTAATCTTGGCTAAACTATATTTTATAGTCCTTTTAAAGTACTCTTTCCGCGTCGGAATCATTTGTTGTCTTCTCCTACGCTTGTCAATGCAAAATCCATTAACAGAAAGACGTTCGCAAATCACTTGCGCTGCTTTTACGACTTCTTCATCCAATATAAAACGTCGACCTTTCAATTCCTCTTTGATTGCTAGAAATAGTCAGAAGTCCCCTTGGAGAGCAAGGGACGATACGGAGAATGGAGGACAGAGTGGATGCTGTTCTTTCCTCTAACAAGTCGGACACGAGGTTTTCGCAACGTTATAAAAACTGACGGAACTAAACCGTTATGGAAAACAAAACAATCAATCTCTGGAGTCGAACAGAAATCGTCCAGCTTTACTAGATTCGACATCTGTCAGAGTGATTCGCGGGAATCCTATAATCTGAACCAAGTCGTGGAACGTTTTGTCGTGAGAGGAGATCCTCCAGAAAATCTAACGTCACGTCGGCTTTACCGTGTGAATCCGATTGAGATTTATCTTATATGATTAATCTACGGCAAATCATGAAACGGAATTTCCAACGGAAGTTCCAATTACCAATTCGACTTGAAACATTGCCGCTTCTTCCGGAAAATGCTTCGACTTTATTACGCGCGTGCTCGGCATTGGGGAAATTTTATGTGAATTTACAAAAATGTACAATTGTTATTTTTACATCGTCGTTTTCTACAACGCGGTTATACACGTAAAACAACATTTGTGAGGTCCGAATAATATTCGAGCGATAGACACTAAATATCTAAGGCAATTTCTAAAAATTGAATACAAGCGCTCACCCATAATATAATATTATCTGTCAAATGCAACGACAGAAAAAGACCGTGTTCCACAGTACCTAGAATGCAGCTGATATGAAATTTTATGATCGAGTACAGAAGCATGTTACTAATAGGAATTCATGTGACGACCAATCCGAATTCTTTTCAGGACTTGCATACCGTCGACTTAGAAGAATTCAAGCACGGCGGGACCAATATCACTGCCTTCCGATTAGTGGACCCGGAGAAGCCGGAAATCCAGAAAGTGATTCAGGACTGGATCTACGGGGAGAAGCGCTACAATCGTGAGCTCGATATGGGACAGAACAGTAACAAGGTAAGATGCGTCTCACGGAAAGTTAACGATTACCGGAAATGGATTGCCCGTACCAGGATGGAGGCAGCTTCCGTATTACAGCGTCATGTTGAAGTCGTTTATTTCACCGATGCCGATATTTCCCTCTCAAAGTTCGTCTCGGACATAAAGTATAAATATAAATAATACGCGGTGCAAGATATACGGCGTCGCAAAGTGTAAGCGCAGGATGTTATGTATGCAAATGCAAAGATCGTTTCACGGCGAAATATGTTCCCGTCCTTAAAGCGGCCGCGCGTCTCACGTAATAACACTCTAATTTCGCATTCTTCGTGCAAGCCCGCTTGACAGCCGCATCGATCTACTTCTTCTCGGTTCTTTCGCCCGCGAGACTTAGCGAGATCCAGCCCGCGCTCTTTGACATGGTCGAGAATAACGGAGCGAATGTAATAATTGGGTATTATCCTATTTGAAACTTGACTACCGTCGTGAGGAAATTAAATTCCCCTTGACACGTGCCGATTCTCATAAGAATGCAAATACCGCAGAAGATTGAACGACTGTCGATTCCATTCTCGATTTCGTTGAATAAACTCGTTAGCCATTAATATACCATTTGTGACGCGAGAAGATCAAAATCTTCATAATTAAACAGTGGCACGATATTGCTCTGCTCTAGTGAATCAAAAGCCAAGACAAGGTGAAACCGTAGCAAACAAGCTGCGATATTCTGATTATGAAAAATGGGACAGCAAGATAATTTCTTCAATAAATAATCACATTGAGTATTAAACGGATTAGATTTTAATGTAGTCTTTACGGAAATGTGATATATTGGATATTAGAACTCTCTAAAAGCCAATCCAGTGCATTATCACTGAAAACATGAATAATTCAGTGCCACACTTACTCGTATAACTGTGAATCAGTGAATATTCACTGTTTTCAGTAATAATCCACTTTTAGAGAGAAAACGTTACAAAATAAAGTCGATCAAATTTTTGCTAGAAATCAATTGATTGCTAATCTGGTCAAATTGTTACCTTTGCTACATCCGGTATATTCGCATGAAATACACACACTGAGAAAAAAAACTGTTGGGTCAAGAAAATATTTCTTGATTCAACTATACAGTCACGGGCTGCCAAACAAATATGTGTTAATTTACGTAAACATTCGTTAATTAAAAAATGTATATTTTTTAATAAATTATGTATGTTTAATTGAAAAACATATATATTTGAATTAAAGAAATACTGTTAGCTAAACATATTTAGTTATATCAGCAATTTTTTTTCTCAGTGCAGATATAAACTTGTATGAATATAACTTTTCTGTGTATATCTCGTGCTTCGGAGCGGGGATATTGAAACCCGAGAGCAGTGAAATTTCTGAAAGCTTTCGAATCTATCTACTTGAAGTTTTGTTGCTTCTAATTGAGATTTACTTTTTCACAATAAAGATAAAGAAATTTATCGATATTATTCTAGATTTGCAGATCATACAATACACACATTCGGTGCACGTGTGTTACATTGTCCTAATTCTCGGTTCCAAAGATTTTATATATCTGTAGTGTACTTGGCGTAAAAGATTCATCTAATTGTAAGTGTTATTATAAAAGATAAAAAGTAACAACTGCATCAAATTCTCAAGTGACTTCAGTTTAATACTAAATCTATAAATAATAAAAATAAAACCTCTTGTATGATTAATTACTTAAATAAAATAGTATGGCTCGTATGTGTTAATCACAAATTTCAAAGAATTTTAAAGGACTCAGAGCCGTGGCAGGGTGGTAGTGTCTAAATATTCTATTCTAAGTTTATTGCGAAAAAATATCACCTAATTACTTAAAATAAATATAAAGCTTGAAGTTTGTAAAATAATGCTACTGAATTAATGTACACATCTCTGTGCACCTAATATTATTACATTAACAAGCACCACGCCAAGCCAGAATGTTATATTATTACAGCACATCCGTAGTATTATATTACGCAAATTTACATCCGTAACGTTAATGTTAATATGTACGTCGAAACTGCAAGCAAGTTGCTCTTCAATTTTACATCACATAACTATCTTCCCGGTTCTCGCAAACCGCGAAGGCAAACGCATCTCCGTTTTTATGCACGCCTCGAATTCGAAGAGCTGAGGTCAGGTCAGGTAGAACGTAGTCCATGCGCAAACATGATTTCCGTGTTAGTTTCGCTGCAGGTGTGGTTCGTGAACTACTTCCTTTACTTCCATAAGCCGATTTCAAAATACAATCCATACGAAGGCGAGAACGTCGCGGGACTCGCAGCGTAGGAAATTACGTGTGCAGTTTACCTACTTCTGTGCCGAACACATTCTGTACACGGCGGCGTAATGAAACGACGGCAAATTAATCGGTATATACGTACATAGACGGCGTACATGAAAGTACACACGAGTTCGCAGGTACTTCCATTAGGTGTCGACATTTTATTGGATGTATCGATTAAGTCGATATACCGACGTCCCGTACGGCGTTATAACGTGAGATTTAAGTATTTTATAGCATTACGCCGTCAGAATCTGTACGAAATATAATAAGACATCCAATTTGAATTCTGAGCTTCGCTCCGGCGAAACTCCGAACACTCGTAATGCGAACATCCTATCTGTTCCTACTCATCGTACGTCTAAATTTCAAGCTGCTTTTTCCTATACTGCAGTAAAATATTACAACCAACTTTCTCCTTCCGTTGTATCTTCACCCTCTCTCTCCTCTTTTCGACTGGCAGCGGCTTCTTTTATTGCTCACCATCTAGAGGCTTAACGAAACGAGGCTAGATGCGATTCACTAATCAAAGTATCAGGGATGTTAAACCGTCATGAACTGTTACATAGTAAACTGTAGATATTTGATTTTGCGTTAAACGATAAACCTTTCATTTATATTTCTATATACTATATATATCTTGTTTTATTAGGTAGGCTTCATAGCAGCTATCTTTGCTGGTGCACTACCTTTTGCTTGTATTGTTTGTCAAACATCTTAATGTATATAGCAAAGCAATAAACATAATAATAATTTCCACGTAGGGCATGTACAATTTTCTTCAATCTGTTAAAATTGTACGAAACAACCTTCGAAAGATGGTTTACACAGTGCTTACCTTTTCTTAATGATTAAACGATTTAGCATCATCATATTATTATTTCCCATTGCAGTGTTAACCATCTCTCACTTCACTAAACCATGTAAAGCTTACTTTGCGCGCAGTATGCGGTAAATTACAGCGAATTCATTAGTGATACGCGAAAATAGATTCAAAGACAAATCGATTAGGAGATTAATCGCTTGTTTTTCGCCTAATGACTCGTTGATTGCCTAGCGTTTCTCAATTGATGGTATATAACTACTTTGGGAAATGACTAATCACGATGTCTCGTGAAGTCTTTGCTCCTTTATCTTCGTTCGTCTGTCAAGATTACTCGAGTCAACACCCTCGTTCTCACCATTGTTCTTCCATTTATATCTGCAGCCAGTCGTCGTAACGTGCTAGCATATTTAGCAGTCTATTTTGCGTAGCGTTCATTACATCCGTGTGAAGAAGTCGTGAGTGAAAAAAGCATTCGATATAAATGTTTAGGCATAATTGTAAAACCAATCATTCTCGGAACGCTGCGGATGCTACTTTATAGACATAAAATAAGCACAAATTATCAGTGGAAAATCATCATTGATAATTATTTTCTTGATTAAATTCACGCCGTTCTTTTACGTCTTGTATCTTAAATGTTAAGAGCGTAAGTCCTTGCCTAAAGCTTTTTGTACGAATAAAGGAGAGTCCCCTCTTGTGAGATAAGATCCTAATACGAGATAGTAGGGTTTCCGCTAAATTAATAGGCATCGTGTGTTGGTTACGTCATGAATTTATAATATTATTGTCCTTGGGGTAAAATCTGTTCGGTAGAAAATTCGTTATTAAATCGTGCGTGTAATTGTTGCAGAACAGATTTGTGAAATTGGACGCTGAAAACCCGCTATCTTTTGTCAGGAGCCTATCTCATAGGGGGCGTTCCTCTAAATATGGCTGGTGTCAAACCATATTTCGCAATAGCTCCATAAATGTAGTGTCCAGTCGACAAACTTCGAGCGACGCAGAGTAAAAATTTAAGGACTTTAAGAGCGAATCCCTGAATCTTGCACGGTGCGTTACTGCCACACGCCATAAAAGAAGCAAATAACGAAACGCCAATTCGCGAAAAGCGAATTATATCGTCCGTCGCATCTGGCACGGCATCAACTGCAGAAAAGTTGAGAAGCGCGAATCCGTACGTTCGGCTATTTCAACGGAAGCAACATCTGCTGGGTCCAGCGCGCCGGGCCCTTAAAAAGGCCAATTTGCTCGGACACGGTTGCACGTTCGCGCAAACTTCCCAACAACTTTTTCTCGATGTTCTGCGGTATACGTAGCTGCAGCACCCCGTGCGAGTATGTGACGGATCTGCTGCATCGTTCGTTGCAGCAGCGTGTTGCGACATTATTCCGTAAAAAGATGTTTTTTTCACGTTACCTTCCTTTCTCACGTCGAAGACGAGATATGATTCTAGTGCGCTAATATTTACTTCGTCGCCATAGTGTGACAAAATTAAGGCTGTTTTTCCTCAGCCTAATTTCATACAATCCATTTCTTCATAACATTGACAATCATTTTGAGATATTATTATATAAAATTATCCAGTTAATATATAAATAAAATTACTGGTTTTCATATACTAATCTGTTTGACATATTCTAAATTTACGCCCTTTATAAAACGACGGCGTAAGATCAAATTTTTAGTACAAATATAGTTAATATATTTAATTTCTATATTGTTGTGATTTTAGATTTATAAGAAAAATATATTCAATAATCTAATTAATTTTTATGAAGAGGTCACTGTTATTTTTAACTCAAAATTCGCAGACTTTTCATTTAATTCTGCGAATGTCTATTAAAATTAAATAATTTATATAAATTGGTTGACAGTTAAAAGTGGACTTTGCAAAACACAAAATAAATTTAGTAAATGTCTAAAATAAAATAACTAATTGCACTCAGTTAATAATTTCATGCATCCTGAAAAAAACTCTTTAACCGTTGGTTTCCTTCCACTCTCTTTCGCTCGTAAATGTAACATAAATTTTCTTTTTAGAAAAATATATGTTTGACCTGTGACCCGTTCACAATGCGGAGAAAAATAATCCCGCTCACCATGCAGGTGATAAATGTGTGGTATATATTAATAAAAATTTGATGCATAGTAAAAAAATTAATCAATAAAAATACTATCGACTTAAATTTTCTTCCAATCGCGCTATGCCAATAGAGTTACGTTTCGATGATACAGTAGGGATGAAAAAAATATTCCTTTCAAACGTATTTCAAGCATTTCTCTCACTTTAACCCTTCCATTCGAAGCCATCGTGATTTTGTATAAGTTTAGTTTTGAATAACTAGTTAGTTAACATAGAAAAATATTATATGTTTCAAAAATACAAATCCAAGGAATTTCGTCTAAATCTAAGGGAAAAAACATGCCTATATAAATATATCGGAAATATATTTGATTACTAATTAATATTATAATTACTCGCGCTTGTATTCTTTTGTCGCCTGAAACTTATTTACACCAAGTAAATAATTGCATACAACTATCTGCTTTATCAGGAACATGCTTCGCCGTACTTTGTTTTCTGTCACACTGCATGGGCAGACAGAATTCTTGGTGGCTTTCCCGTGACATGGAAAGACAACCAATAGTTCATGGAAGATATATCATCGTGACGACAGATAGCACGTCTTTGATACTCGCTTCGAAGAGAGGAAAAGAACGAAATGCCGGCACAAAGAAACACTCGGTTGACTTTCTTGCGCGATCTTATAAAATAAAACTTATAAAATCGTCAATTGGAAGTCGCAAAACGAATGGCGCCAAAGACTGCGCCATCGATTCGTGGCACGCAGAGACGCTAGTAATAAAAACTTTCTCAATTTGCCAGTTTCATCAGGCACAGTGTCGCAGCTTTACGAGGTGCCGGCCATCAGACTTCCCACCGTTAAAATTAGAAATATAAAAGTCGCGTAATAATAAAGAAAAAGAGCAAGCGAGCTGCTTGAATCAGAATTCAGATATTTGTGAAATTACAGTTTCTATAGTCAGCATTAATGAAACAAAATGCTTAATATACACTAATCTTTCGATGAAAATACATTCATAAGTCACTTAATTTTATTTTATAATTGTTTAATTGTTTTGCTTTGTAATTTTTAGAACAATTAGAAAATGAACTCATAAATTCAATAACTTGAGAACACACGGGCTGTGACGAATAAAGCGGATTGATTTCGTTTCTCGCCATTTCTATAAGCGCGAAGTGTTTTTCGTCAGAATTCATCCTTATGGAACGAATCCTTCTAAAACCTTACAATTGATAGAAAACCGTACCGCCAAATGGACGTCGCATTCATGATAGATTTATCAGTAAAAGACTGTTTCTTTTTCCATTTTAAGAACATTCTATCATAAACAAACGAACAGCTACATTAAAAAATATATATGTATATGTCGAGAGAATGAAAGAAATGTATATCGTTTGTAACTAACTCATTTTTTCAATAAGCAACATCGATAACGTCTTTTAGAAAAACAGAGATTTTTAACTGTTTTCTAACTCGACAATTAATAATTTAGTTTAGTGCCACATTACATGTACACAAAACGTGCGGATAAACCGGGTCAAGACATCATGAACAGTTATGAGAGTTAACATAGTCACGACATAGTCGACGCTGCCATTCGAGATTTAACGACGACATTACGCAAAGGCACCGCCACATAACGAACAATCACGTTTGGGCGAATTCCGTAACGGGGATATGTCTGTCCCTCGGAGGGATGTGGGCAATCCCATTACGAGCGTGTCAAAGCCAGGCTAATTAACTCAATCGCGTACACGCGGCGACAAACAAACGGACAATACATTGATTCGATTATAGACGGAATATGGCCTGGTGGAATCGTTAGGAACGGCAGTGAGCATAAGCTCGTTATTCCAGGCTTGTGGATAAATTGCTGATTATTTTGCGACGCTACTTGTCTGTAGACTTACGTAAGAAGTTCGGCGCGGTGATTACATAGCACAATTTTGCTTCTTACTAGATAGAAAGTGCGCCCGTATTTGTGACTTTCTGTGGATGATTAAAAGACTGTCCTCCTCCATTTCATGTATTTCGCACAGTCACCGGTTATCTTCTGTCATCGAATTTTACGCTCTATACATTATATTATACACCCTGTGTACATTATGTACACCCAGAAAAAAGATTAATTTAGTTTAAACAAATAAGATACGTTGAGAAATCATGCTTTCTTGAATCTAATAAATTTTTATTTACTTTGGCTGAAACATTTGCATAGATTTGAAGAAATAGATATGAATTTTCTTAGAAATTTTTCAGTCTTAATTACATAAAATTTTGGTTAAGATAAAGAAATCATTTCTTTGAAATTAAATAAAAAGTCTAGTAGGGTCAAAATTCAAAGAAAATTTGTTTGATTTCAAAGAAACTTTTTTTTCTGGGTGTATCGTACCATTTTAAGGTATCAAAAAATACTTTATTCTTCTCCCGATTTTGGAATATTTAATAATTAATTGTGCTTTTCTTTTCTCCCATGCACGCGTGGAGCAGAACAATCTCACTACTATAAAGGTAAGTTAAAAATACATTCAATGGCACACAAATACACGGAAAAAAAAATGTAGCTGCATATGGACAGCTAATATTTTTTAGTTGTGATAGCTAAATATTTTGCTACGACAGCAAACGGTTTGCTGTCGTAGCAAAATATTTAGCTATCACAACTAAAAATATTAGCTGTCCATATGCAGCTACATTTTTTTTTCCGTGTAAATAGAAACCGCAGAAATAATTTTAATATAGTGCGTTCACACATTTTTC